AGAGGTAAGAAAGGACAGTCAGTTTCAGCATCAAGTAGAAGACTGAATATTTAGGATCCCATGAAATTCTCAGTTATAGAAAACTAGATCTATAGATAATATATGCTGATTTTGATCAGAGCCACTAATCTGTTCTGACTCATAGCGACCCTGTATAGAGCTGCTAAGGAGTGTCTGGTGAGTTTGAACCACCAACATTTCAGATAGCACTTTATTGCTAAACATGCAGCACATCAGCAGGATTACTAGACATTATATAGGAAATAAGTAAGAATGTTTAAGGTATAAACAACAGCATATCTGTGAAATTGTTAATTGTTTGTGGCTAAGTTTGCATTGCTTTCTTCTCTTTTCCAGCAGCTTCATCAGCTACATGAAACTTAGAAACCAAACACGTGTTTCAGAATTCATTCTTTTGGGACTCTCAGAAGAGGCAAATCTGCAGCCCCTACTCTTTGGACTCTTCCTGTCCATGTACCTAGTTACCTTCAGTGGGAACCTGCTGATCATCCTGACTATCATCACGGCCTCTCACCTCCACACACCCATGTACTTCTTCATCTTCAGTCTCTCTTTTACAGACATTTGTTTCACCTCCACCACTGTCCCAAAGATGTTGATGAACATTGAGATGCAGAGCAAAGTTATTACCTATGAAGATTGCATCACTCAATTGTATTTTTTCATACTTTTTGTTTCATTAGACCATTTTCTCTTGACAGTGATGGCTTATGACCGATTTGTGGCCATATGTCACCCCCTACACTACACAGTCATCATGAACCCAAAGTTCTGTTGTATCCTAGTTTTCGGTTCCTTATTACTGAGTTCTCTGGAGTCTCTATTAAATAGCTTAATGATTTTGCGACTGTCTTTTTGTACAGAATTGGAAATCTCCCACTTTTTCTGTGAATTTAATCAGGTACTCCAACTTGCTTGTTCTGATACTTTCCTCAATGACTTAATTTTGTATTTTGTAGCTGGACTTCTGGGTGTTATTCCGTTCACTGGGATCCTTTTCTCTTACTGTAAGATTGTGTCCTCCATTTTGAGAATTTCATCTGCTGAGGGGAAGTCTAAAGCCTTTTCCACTTGTGGGTCTCACCTCTCAGTCATTTGCTTGTTCTATGGTACATCTTTTGGAGTTTATCTTAGTTCTGCTGCTTCCCCAAATTCCAAGGCATCTGCAATAGCCTCAGTGATGTACACTGTGGTCACCCCCATGCTGAACCCCTTTATCTATAGTCTTAGAAATAAGGAAATAAAGCAGGGTCTAAGAAAACTTTTAACCCGAGAAACATTTCCTCCATAACAAAATGATTTTATTAGAGAGTAGAGAGTTATTAATGAGCAATGGAGCTCAAAATCATGAAGACCTAAATGATACTTAAATCTGCTCAAAACTCTGAATTTTTTCAGAATACAATCTCCATTATTTTTAAAGTGATTGTTTCTTGCATATTTATTTTTTTTTAAATATTAAGTATAGGTTTATTTAAAAATTCATCAGTTTTCCATTCAACAAATCATATACTTTGTTCCATCTCAATGACTGCAATCATCTCCATGGATTATCAGCTACCAGCTTCCTCCCTGCAGTTTTTATTTACATTCCACCCACCTTCCTGTCCCTTCTCAACTTTGTCCAATAGTGCACCTTAGACATCCTTTCATGAACATTAAAGATCCCATCCCAGATATTACTTACCAAATTTGCATTTAGAGCATTGTCTTTGTGGAATATGCTGTGTCGCAGAAGATAGGTAAAAGTATTGACTCATCTTTAGAGTGTCCTTCGCTGTTCATGTGCTTAATTTTCAATAGAGGAATGTATAATACAGCATCAGACTGAATGTGGAGATGTTAGGAGAAGTTATTAGAGAATGATGTGCTGGTTGAGTAAATATCACAAGCTGTATTCTACAATAAAATAATGCAAGTATTAAACTAAATACTTCAAGGGAGGATGAATTATGTATCATTTATTGCCATTATATTGGTATATACAAATAACAACGTAACAAACATAACACATGCAACATA